ACTTGAGGTAGGTCTCCCGGGGGAGGGGGAGGGGGCATTCATCACCTTGAACTCCTCCTCCTGATCCTCCTCCTCCTCCTCCTCCTCCTCCTCCTCCTCCTCCTCCTCCTCCTCCTCCTCCTCCTCCTCCTCCTCCTGCCCGCCCTCCTCCTCCCAAGCCCAGACCCATTTTTCTTTGGCATCTTCTCTCCCTGCTCCCTCTCTTTCCTTCTGACACTGCAAGTCTTTCTCACCGGTTCGAATGCATCCTCAAAACAAAGCTCTTGTCGACGAAGGAAGAGCTGGCCGTCGCATCCTCCTCCTCCTCCTCCACGAATTTCACAGACTGCTCGTAGCTCCTGTCCTCTCTCGACTTGTCGAAGCTCATCATGGAAGTTCGTGAGACGATGTCTTGTTCAGACATTCTCATGCTTTCCATGAGCCTCACAAGGTCTTGTTCTTGCTCGACGTGTCACCAACAAACAAGACAAGACACGACCACTGCACACCTTGCAACTTTGCGTATTCCATCGCCCTCCCTAAGTTCTCCTCCTCCTCCTGCGCCTGGACTTTCGTCAGAGGCAACAAAGTCGACGAGTCAGGTCAGGCATGCACACCTGGAGGATAAAGACAGTCTCGTCGAGGATGCTGTCAAGGATCATGGCAGACAGGCTGTCGATCTTGTGAACGATCTCAGTCTTCTGGTGGCTCGACAGTCTCTTTCCATGGCTCGGTCTGTGATCAGCCAGGTTCTTGTACTCCTCGATCTGGTGGGGGAGGAGACTTCAGGGGAGGAGGAGGAAGGGAGAGGAGGAAAGGAGAACAGCGGGAGATGGAATATTCAGGAAGCGGAGAGCAGAACAGAGCAGAGCAGAGCAGAGCAGAGCAGAGCAGAGGAGGAGGAGAGGAGAGGAGGAGGAGAGGAGAGGAGGAGAAGAGGAGAGGAGAAGGATCGAAGGACCTTGTCATGCAGATCTTTCTCTCTGTCTCTGATCCTCAACATTTCCTTCTCCCACACTTGGATCATCGCCTCCACCTGTATCATGGCAGCCGCCGATCAGGATCAGAGCAGCGCCAGCGAGCAACTGGACAAGAGCTCGCCAAGTCGATCACAGGGCGATGGGGAAGGAGGCGGGAGGGAAGGAGGGAAGGAGGGAAGGGAGAAAGGGGAGAGAATGAAACGAAGAAAGAAGGGAAGAAGGGAAGGAGGGAGGGAGGGAGGGAGGGAGGGAGGGAGGGAGGGAGGCATGAAGGGAGGGCCAGAAGGAGGAAGGGCAGGGATGCCCGGCATTGACCTGCAGCAGGGCAGCGTTGGCTACATCCTTAGTCTCCGTCGTCTCCTTGGCAAACGTCTGCGCCATCCACTCGAGCTTCTCCTCCGACTCCTTTGTCACCCGCTGCTCGCAACGCGACCAAGTCCGTCAGCTCGGGAAGATATACCCCCTCCTCCTTACCTTCACAAACTCCTGGTAGTCAAACCCCGTCGGCTGCTGCTGCTGCTGCTGCTCACTCCCGTCTGGGTTGAACGAACTTCTCCCCACGCTCCCTCCTTCCAGCCCTTGTCTGCTCCTCCTCGTTGGGGCCTGGGACTGGCACACGTAGCATCCCAACTCATCCGACCACTGGCGTCTTGCTGGAGAGACGGGGAGAGTCTTGCCGTAAGGCGTCAGCGCCTTCCTGTTCGCTGCGGTATCATCGTCGAACTCGTCGGCGTTGCGATGGCTCAACACAGAGTGGCCATGGTTGGGGCATCGGAACTCAGATGGGGAGAGGACGACCTGCAAGACAAGGAGCTCAGCGGGGCCTCAAGCAGGCAAGTCCTGCCCTAACCTGACTCTCTTCCTTCTTTCCCTGCAGTGTCGATCTTTTCCTCGTGAACACAACCCCCCTCGGAGATTTCGTGCTCTCCTCCCGCTCCACCGACTTCTGCCTGTTGACCGCATCCTTGCTGCCTGACTTGGGAGGCTTCTTGTTGTACAGACTGATGATCTCGTTCAGAATCTTCTTGTTAGTTTCCGACATCCTCGACGTGTTGGGTTTCCCACTGCCTGGCCTCACCATCCCCTGCTTCTCTTGCTCGGGAGCTTGCTTCCTACTCTTCCATTCTGCCATCGTGTTCGTCTCGTCTCGCAGAAGGGAGGCATGCCTGTTCGGCCGCTGTGAGCTGTGAACATACGTATTGTTGTTCCACTCCGGCTTGCTCGTGACATTCTTTGGTGGCCTCCTCTTGCCCTTCAGGACAGCAGCATGCCGACGTCGCGGGTTGGACGCACCAGGATGGTGCCTCCCACCTCTTCGATCTTGCCCTTTAGCATCCTCCTCTAGCGAGATCTCTAGCGAGTCCTGGGTGACAGAAAGATCATGCTCCGTGCTATGGCCTTCTCCTCCTGCGCGGTCGCCATGAATCCACGCTTGCTCCTGCCCCAACAGTAAGCAGTCCTGGACCGCAAGGTCTGCACCCACCTTGTCCTTCCCGCTCGTGTTAAAGCTTCCCTGCTGATCAGGTGCTGATGCCGTCATTGTTTCACTGTCTCTTGATGATATCACGATAAGCTGCTCCTCTCTCCCCCTGGAGGATGGAGTCAAAAAGGTGTTGAGACAGCAGTGGTATACATCATGGTCGCAAGGAAAGCTAGCATCTACAATACACGAGCATAATACACGAGCATCTCAATCCTTCCTTTAATCACTCTGTTGGCCACGGCTGGCCGCATGCTGGATGGCCATCGTTGTTGGCCTGACCTTATCTTCAACAGTATTTCGACATCTCGTCGAGAGATATCAACATCAACATCAACATCATCGGCACCAACCTTTTCCCACACTTCCTCCATGATCAACAGGACCAAGATACAATGAAAAACAAGTTCCACAGCACCTCTTGCTGTTTCTGCTGCATGGTACTTACGTTTGCCCTATCATGGGCCGCCATTCCGCCATTCCCGCCAGCCCGATTCTCAGTCCTTGTACCACCCACTACCCCCTGTATCTCCCTTACTTTGATGGGTAGAGTACCCGCCTCTTCTTTTTTTGAAAGTTTGAAAAACTTCGGGGGGCAAAGTTTGAAAAGTTCCCAAAGTTTGAAACTCGGAGCGTCAGCCTCAGAATTCAATTTTGTGTGGTACTAAGTTTTACTCAAGCAGCTCTGCAGATTTCAATTGTGCATGCACAATCTAGGCTACGTAAAAGCTCATTTTAAGCTGAATCTTGCGATTGTGTGGAAAAGGCAAGTTGAGTTTGAATTGTGGCACTGCAACTCTGAGAGTGCGACTACTATGACACCGTGAGGAGCGTGTGACTCGTTACGGGCCGGGGCTCACGGTTGAATGAAAATCGGCGACTCGGAACTGAGGCTTCCGAAGTTCGGCGTCTGAGTTCGGCCCGGGCCACTTGCCGGCCAAGTTCGGCGCCGGAGTCCGAACTTCATGGTGCCACCCGGTACTGTTCCGGCGTCCGCCGACTGGCTTCCTCCGGCAGTGGCAGTTTATTCACCGGGCTTGAACAGTGTCACCAACTACCATTCGATGATCAGCCCGGTGGCCGGCCGGGCACTGCCGCGGGTAGCCCGCGGCCTAGCGCGGCAGCGGCGGCGGCGCTTCCGATTCAATTCAATTCTAGAGGGATCGGACAATTCTAGTCGAAGGGCCGCTTCAGTGAGTCACTGAGTCAAGCCGCCGGGGCCCGGTAAAGGATTGACTATGGACCCTCCGAAGCTCGAGGCTTATAAGTGTTATTGTCAAGAGCCAGGGATTTGTCATGAGCCTCATAGTAGGCCTTGTAGTCAAGAAATCTCGATGATTCATAAGAAGGTTGGTAGTCAAAATTTGCATAGTCGCTTACGGCGACCAGTATGCTACTATCAGGTGCCATAGTCAATAAGTTTGCCTTTGCCTTGAAGCAGGAGACTTATAGGGTTTATAGTCAATTTCTCGCAACGAGCTAGCAGGGATTATAATCAATATTAAGGCTCATTGAGGCCCCTTAGTCAAACTAGGCGCCCCCTAGCCTCTGGTGCGCCTCTTGGAAAGGCCGTGATCTGACAGTATCACGGCTATTTTACTACTGTCATGACCTTCAAATCAGATCAAAAATACTGAAAAGTATCCTGTTCAGAAATAGAAACCAACTCTTATAATCATTTTTAGTTCTCATTTGGGACCTCCTTCGGCGTTCTGTACCCCTGGTAATTTGTGCCACCCCAGGAAAATACTTTCAAGTACCCCCCATATGACCACAAGATCAATGTACCCCACATCAACCACCCCCTCCTTCCGATGAGCCTTGGAAGGTCCCGCAAAAAAAAAAAGTATCGTGACCGTCCCTCATAGTCCTTGTGGGGACTAGCCTGAGGAAGAATAGGGGTGGGTACTTAAAGTACCGGTATTTTTGGCATGTCTTTTGTGATATCACTATGGGTGGGTATTTTCTGGGGGGTAGGTCGTGACATGTACCATGCATGGACCACAGGACCCCTGGCGAATTCCCCAACCTTCATACCCCTACCCCCCCTTTATATTATCAGTACCACTTAACTTCAGGGTACGAAAGATTCACGTTTGGAACCCTACCTCCGGTTTGACTGGTAAACAAGATATTGCATGGGCGATGTAGAAGGGGTGGGTAGTTTATCGAGGGGGTAGTGTACCGAATGCAACAACCCCACCCTTCCCTTCGCAAGCAGGATCAAAAGAGCCCTACCCCCACCCTCCTTATTCCCCAACCTTCACCCCACCTCCTATCCTGTTTCCCGACCCCATGTGCCGTAAGATACCCAATTGAATCCACTCACCCCCACCCACCCTCCGACCTCTTTCTTCTATCACCCCAGTTTGCAACGTCTACCCCTACAAACATCTTCTATGACCCTTGATTTTCTATAACTTCCTTTCTTTTACCACCCGGTTCTTCACTAGTTTCCAGGTACCCCACCCACATAGAAAGGGTGGATTTTTTACCCCTACCCCCACTTCTCACTCCCCCACCCCCTTGAATGCCTGCTATATAAATCAGCCTCCTGAAACCTTCCGGCGACTGCCATGCGCACCACACGCATCGGTCGCGGCAATGCACGCATGCGCGCATGCACACAAACATGTCGTCCTCTGCATGTTCTGCTCAACTTCAGTTCCTCTGTCTCATTGCGTTCTGCGCATGTTGGCCAGAAAAGTTTAGATGGTTGTACAAATGTGGGAGGGAACTTTATTCAGTGTGTCGTAGATCGTTCCTCCCTTCGTTGCAGTGTTCATTTCGAATTTTCAGCGCATGATATGTTGCTTTCTCAAAGCCTCTAGCTTACAATTATCATTTGACAGACTGAAAAGCTACCTTCTTCTGACTGAACCCAACTACCAAGCCCCCGTTGATCAGCTGATCGAAGACCACCATGACGCAAGCACATGCTCTCCATCTGGTTGAATCGAGCCTGCAGTCCATGGACAGCGACCTCTTGCGTTCAAGCGATCAGCTTGTGGAGGACATGGTATTATTTTTTGGAGACCTGTTGAAGCATTCTTACACTGCTGCGTATTGCAGGAAAAACGCAAGCAAGCGAACTTGTAAGCCTTTGCTGCTCTTGCGAACCTTCACTGACAGCCTTGCAGGACACATCACTCGCATCCTCCTAAGCAGCAGTTCAAATGGCCCAAGAAGCTCTCGGATATTGTCCTGTCCACCACCGAAGGACCAGAGCAACTCACCACGGCAATCCTCAAGAACCTGAAGCCTGCGATCCTGGTGGCCGTCCTGTCCGTCTCTCTGTCTGTGGGTCTAGGCATTGCAAGCGGATCCTCGCCTACGGCAGGGCTGCGAACTGCGGTATGGGGAGGAATCATCTGCGGAATCTTCTCCTCCTCCCCCTACAACATCGTCGGTCCGGCAGGCGCGCTGTCGGGGCAGCTGTCCAAGTACGCAGCTCAGTACGGGAGCGAGGTGCTGCCATGGATTGCGATCGGGAGCGGCCTGCTCTGCGCAGTGATGCTGAGGTTGGGGATGCAGAAGTACATGCTGTTCATGCCGAAGAGCGTGTTTGAGGGGTTCACCGTGGCCGTGGCGCTTGTGATAGGCCTCAAGCAGGTCAACTATGCGCTTGGACTGACCGGGCTGGAGAAGCACGAGCACTTCGTGGACAGCCTTTGGGAGTCGATCACTCACCTGGACAGAGCAGAGTGGGGCTCGATGGTGGTGTTCTTCCCCCAGGTGATCGCGCTCTACACGCTCACCAAGTTCTACCCCAAGATCCCATGGATGGTTATCATACCGTTATCGACCATCTTGCTGGGGTTCGCAGTAGAGCAGGGAGGATGGTGGGACCTCCCGATGCTCAAGACTGAGTTCGGAAAGCTCCCCAACGACATCATCTCTCTCCCGCAGCTTGGTGCTCTGCCGACCATCGGACAGAACTTCATCGGTTTCGTCTCTGCATGCGGCTCCGTGTGCCTCGTGTCTGTGCTGGAGACTCTGATCAGCGCCAAGATCGCCGACATCCGAGCTGAGCAGAACGAGCTGGGAAACTTTGACGAGGCCAAGGAGCTGGGAGCGCTGTCCCTCGCCCAGCTCGTGTGCGGGGCGTTCGCCGGCCTCCCCCCCACTGGAGTCTTCGTGCGAGCAAGCGTGAACCAGCTCAACGGGTCCACCCACAAGATCTCGCAATTCATGAATGCTATCATCGTGATGATCATCACCGTGGCTACCATGCCTGCCTTCTCTTACCTCCCCCTGGCCTCCGTGGCCGCCCTGCTGGTAGTGAGCGCGGTTAGGATGGTTCCATTCCACTTCTTGCACGAGCTCTGGCTGCACGACAAGAAGCATCTCTTTATCTGCATCTTCACTGCTGTGGTTGGCTTCATCTCAGATCCTGTGGAGGGGCTGCTGGCAGGGACCCTGCTTGCCTTCCTTAACCTCGCCATGGACGAGCACGAGGCTCCGGGAGGCGTGGTCCTGGAGCTGAGCGAGAGCCTGTCTGACGACATCGACCTCACCTTCCTGGTCATCAAGTTTGCAGGGCCCATCAACTACGCCAACTCGGACTCGATGGTGAGGAGGGGAACCAGGATCTCGGAGCTCTGCAAGACGGAGATCCATGGCGCGGTAATCGACATGACATACCTGACGGAGATCGACCTGGACGGGGTCGAGGGCATCGACAGGCTCTGCGACACGCTGGTGAGGAGGATCAAGCGCAAGAACCGACATGCTGGCTATCAGCACGTCCGCGACCCCATGGTGCTGCTTCGACTATTTCCATCTCCTCCCGTCCTCTCCTCTTTCCCGTCCTCACCCTCATTGCTTCCCAACCTGCCGTTCCCTCCCCTCCTGCCCCCGTTTCCTCTCCTCCTGCTCCTTGTTTATCCCTCCTGTAATTTTCCCAGCCCACTCCTCCCTCCCTCTTTGGCTCGCTGACTCTCACGCTCCTTCAGATTTTGTTTGCCTCCGTGCCGAGCCACCTCCGTCTGGATCTGGAGCGATCGCGGCACTACAGGGGCTCGGTGGAGCAAGGATCGGTGCTGCCGTCGTCCAACGCTGCTGTCAAGTTCGCAAACTCCATCATCTCTGCCAAGCACACGGCAGAGGAGAAGATCGTGGGGCCAGGAGAGGATCAGGTCTGAGGAGCTGAACAAGCTGAGAAAATAGAGCTGAGGTGGAGCTGAGAAGGTGGACAAAGACGGGAACTTGTTTAAAGGCACACGTTGTCCGCGATGTTTAACGTGTTTTGAATATTTGAGGTGCGCGGTAGTTTGTCTTTCAATGAATGAAAGATGAAGGAAAGGAGGATAAAGGTGAAAGAGGAGGAGGAGAATGAGGGAGATATTGATGGGAATCTCTCAACGACGACAATCAGAGGAAACTATCGAAGTTTTGCATCTGCCAGCAAGGTCAGCTGAGTCGTCAGGGAAACTATTTCCTCCCTCTTTCCCCTCTCTCCGCACTTGCACCTTTTGATTTTTCACCTCAGCCTTCTCCCCCCCTCCCTCCCTCCCTCCCTCCATCCATCCCTCCATCCGTGATCCTTATCCATCCACCCCTTCCTCCCTCTCCTCCCTCCCTCTCCTCGCTCGCTCACTCGCACTCACTTTGGACATCCCTTCCATGAAGAGCGTTTCATCCTCCACGTTCCAACCACCCAGTTCGACCTTCCCCTGCGTTCTGTTGACAGGAACCCTCACTCGGCCCCCCGTGCGGAGCTTGCGCAGCTCGACTTCCGCGCGTTGAGCCATCTGTCAGAAGTTGAGGGGGACAGGCATGAAGACTGAAGGAAGATGAAGGTAGAAGGGAAGGGAGTGAGAGGAAACAAGGGTGGGAGGAAGGAAGAATAGAAGAGGGAGGAGAAGAGAGCGAGGGGGCATGAAGGAGGGGAGGAGGAGACGCCGGGAGGGGGGGGAGGAGGACGAGCAACAAGTCACCTGGTCGAGATGATCCTTTCCAAAGAGATCTGGGAGTGTATGACCTGG